ACTAGCTGTTACCCGCGACTTCGTCAGCGGAGGTTTTGCAAGCAAACCCCATTTACATCCAATATTTCAATAACCATAGTAATTGTTATATAACACCTACCGCTGAAGAGAATTGCCGAAAATCAAACGAACTATTTTCAATTTGATCAATTTTCTGAAACGTTTACAATCGTTCTATAATCGAACCAATACGCAATAACAAATTCGAATTTAAAACAGTTCGAACATTTTTAAAATTGAAATGATAAAAATATTTATAACAATGTCTGAAATGTTATCAATTTAATACACCTAAGTACTCAATGAAGACTAAATGTAGTTGAAAACAAAAAATCGCATCTAAAATAGTACAGTAGAAGCCATTCTTCCGGTTAAGCCTTAATCCTCTCCTTCACCCCCGCGGGGGAATTTCTAAAAATCCCTTCTTAGTGTGCATTCCCATGACTTTACTAAAACGCAGGTAAAAACAAAAAATCGCATCTAAAATAGTACAGTAGAAGCCGTTCTTCCGGTTAAGACTTAATGCTCCCCCTCTCCCCCACTTGGGAATTTTGAAAAATCCCTTTTTACTAAAACGCAGGTAAAAACAAAAAATCGCATCTAAAATAGTACAGTAGAAGCCGTTCTTCCGGTTAAGACTTAATGCTCCCCCTCTCCCCCACTTGGGAATTTTGAAAAATCCCTTTTTATTGTGCGTTTTCATGACGAACCCTAACTGTGTACCAAATTTCTGCTCTTTAGGTCCAGCGTTGCTCTGGGCGATGATGAATCAGTGAGTCATTCAGTCAGTCAGGACAAGCAATTTTATAAATATAGATTAATTTCAGTTTTCGTAAATGCTTAGCGAGGAGTTGTATACATCTCCCAATTGAAATCTCAAAGGCTTTAAGGTCTCTATCCTACTCTCCCATCTAGTGTCACTCAATGGTTTCAAAGTTAAACCTTGAACATGTTTTAAAAGTATTGCCCATTGAAAAGTAGATGCCAATAGATAGCAACTCAACTATTTTTAAGAAATTACCGTTTTTATACTCAAACAACTTGTCGCTTGTACTTTGAAAAACCAGACCACTTTTACCAAGCATTTTAGTAATTGCTACGATTCTTACGAGACGTGTCCGGAAAGTAAATACTGTTTCGTTCTACCGCCATTGCCGAGGTAGTATCGCAGTTCAGCGCCTGCGCACACGTCTCTCTGGTTGATTGTCAGTCCAGTGACGCCATTACAGCCGGATTGTGTTTTTTTACACGTGTTAGTGAGCGTTCAAAATGTTTAAGACTATTNGGGCCACTTCACTACCAAACAAAACTCTGTCTATCAACATTTATAGTGATTTGTCTGTCCTAAATCTCTATTAAATCCCAATTGCAATAGCAATAAAATCGCATATATCCAACACCATATTAAAAATCTTGTAAATAAAATAATTTTTATATTTGTTCCTGGCCATACTGGCATACTAGGAAATGAAAACGCCAACATTGAGGCTAAGTCAGCTGCAAAAGGAAACTGACTCGGATTACACTTACATCCCTATCTCACGTAGCAGCCTTAAAAATTATATTCGTGATAACGCTATGCGAAAGTGGAATCAGTAAAAGTAGTTGAGCAGTAAAACTTGTAGAATAACACGACTTTATTTTCTTAGTGTCGAATGTAGGTTCTCATCACTATTTACCGATTTAACGTTTGCTACTGCTCAACTACTTACTCAGCATGGTAATTTTAGAAGCTAACTGGAGATGTATAACCGGGCAGAAACTGCTTCTTGCTTTTGCCCTACAGAAAACCTAGACACCGTCGACCACGTGATCTATCATTGTCTAATATACAATCAACATACACTTATTCTGAAATTAGAAATCTTTACGCTTGTTTCAAGTGG